ATCACCTCCTTTGTCTTGTGCCTTCTGGTGTGTAGCTTTCAGTTGTGCTGTCTATTAGTACATCCAACTTTCTTCCCTCTGCGGCTTCTGCTGTCTGTTGGCATCCCTCTTCAGTACTGTCAGCCTTGCTCCTTTTTCAGCGTCCCTTCTGCTATATACCCCATTGGTTCCTTCCACACCTAGCTGCCTCCTTTTTTATTGGCTGAATGAAGGAGAAATATCCTGCTGCAGGCATCATTAGTAGGCCCTGCTTCTCACCCTCTTTTGTGCAGTTCATAAATTCTTCAAATGATTTGCTGTCGAGCTCAAATCTCTGATTCTATCAGACCATATTACACAAATATTTATTTGATGTCCTGCACACAATCAAGACCTAGGGTAGAACAAGTATTAATTTTTGCTGTGCTATGTCATGTATAAGCTGTATTGGACTGTGGAGACTATGGTGATGGCACTTAGAGTGGTAGAGTTTGCTGTTGTATATTATTAGATGTAAGCATAATAAGAGTATAACAACAGTAAACTGGAAGGTGTATTTTATTCTAAGCGGTCATATTGCAAAAATAGGATCTCAGATCCCAGAAACCAGCAAATTCAGCAGTAAAAGCAGTATTATGTAAATACTCCATCTATGGAAGAAGGTATTGAGTAACCATTACTTAGCTTTAGTTATGTAGCATGGTGCAGTGGGTAGCACTGCAGCCTTGTGGCAAGAAGGTTCCGGGTTTGATTCCTGGCTCAGGGTCTTCCTACATGGAGTTTGCATGTTCTCCCTGTGCATGCTTGGGTTCTCTCCGGGAACTCCGGCTTTAGTTCATTTCAGTTTATTTATATAGCGCCAATTCACAACACATCATCTCAAGGCACTCTACAATTCACCAGATCATACAGTCAAATTGATTCAAATTTTAAATCTAAGGAAAACCAGTTGATTGCATCAACTCATTGACTCGAATGCAATCCCTCACACTAAGCATGCTTGTAGCGAAAGTGGAGAGGAAAAACTCCCTTTTAACAAGAAGAAACCTCCAGCAGAACCAGGCTCAGTGTGAGCGGCCATCTGCCGAGGCCGACTGGGGTTCAAGGAGACAGAAGCAGAAATATAAAAGGCAACTGTAAAGGCGGCCCAGTCCAGGAAACACACAGCCAGGCAGACGAGCTCCAAGCCAGCTCCCATGTCAGAGAATGAGAAGAGCACATCCAGCCAGTCAGTCAGAGAAACGGGACTACACTGAAAAACAGACCGATCTCCAGCATCTATAAAAAAAGGTGTTGATTGCAGCAGCACAGCTGATATTTCTCTCCAGGATGGTGTCACAGCCAAAAAGATGACTGTTAGGTTAACTGGCTTCTCTAAAATCTCCTCAGGTGTAAGTGTGTGCATAAATAGTTGTTTGTCCTGTTTATCTCTATGTTGACCTGAGATAGACTGGGTCCTGTCCACGGTGTACCCCACCTCTCCCCCGTTGACAGCTGGAGATAGGTACCATCACCCCTTGCGACCCAAGTAGGAATAAATGAGTAGGAAAATGGATAGATGGAAGAATAAATAGTTAGCTAACATTTAAGAATATGTTTGCAGATTTGAATTATCTTTACATGGCTCAGGTAGACAAATTATTAAAGGAAGCTTTTTTACCTTAGAGAATCACAGAATACATTGTGACAAAAACTACTGAGGCCACATTATCAAATCAGTTTCATTCAAATATGAGAATGAGATGAGTTTAATATCCACCTTAGTAGCTAGCAACAGAAGTACTATGAATCGCTGTTATTATTTTTACTCAAACTTTGGGTGCCAGTGCACATTTTTTCTTCCAGTTCTGTAGCGTTAATTACATGTGGAAAAGCTCCATATTTCAAAATCCTGCCTTTCTGTAAGTGGTTTTAAAAGAAGTTGTCATCATGTTCCCAACACAACAGTGTCTGGATTGTTAAAGAACATCATCTTCTAAAAAACTCAGCAGGTGCGACTGCAAATAGACATCCCAATAAATTGCCTGTTGGCCAACAAAACGTCAGGCATCTTGAGGTTACTAGTAGCTTAACCTCTGTTCTATAAAAGAGTTCTTTGACAAAATCTTACCTTGAAAGGCAGCAATGCAACTTTGATGGAAAATCATCAGGGGGTTGGTAGCGTCAAACTCAACAACAGGATGTGACATTTTCCTTTAGTTGCTTTTTTTCCCCCTCTACTGCAGCTGAAATCTACCATTTAAAATTGTCAAAAGATTCCCCATTCTTTTTGTTGAATTCCTGTGTTGAATTCCCTCATTACTCATCAGCATCAAAAATTGGATAGCTGATTTGTTGGAACAATTTGCAAAAAAGGCAGCAGAAAACAATAGAAAGATGTACAATAAGACATTCAACTAATTAAAAATGTATTTATGTATGATCTTTTGTTTGAAAGAAAGCTTGGAGTAGAATGATATAAGCTTAAATGTTTTGATTTGAAGCCACATATTCTCTAAAATCCACATGAATCAACAGTTTAAGTACAAAGTACATGCAGGCCACAAGAAACAAAAGTTTTCTTCAACCTGAACAAAATCTTATGTGAATCTTTATTGCTATTATGATTGCATGTTAAACAATAAATACCAAATATTTTATTGGAAATAAAATATTTGAAAGACATTTTAAATAACTTGAGAACCAAAGTATATACTCCCCTACACTTGTAATGGAGTGGCATCCTAGTGGTTGTTGCATTGCGCTGGAAAGCCAGAGGTTTTGAGTTTAAGTCCCACTGCAAAGGACTGACTCTCTGGGTCCCTGAGCGAGACCGTTAACACCATACTGCTCCCCGGGCGCTGCAAAATGGCAGCCCACTGCTCCCCAAGGGGATGTGTTAAATGCAGCGTTGATTTCATTGTTCTGTGTCACACTGTAATGACAATAAAAAGCAAAAAAAAAATAATAATAATTATATATATATATATATATATATATATATATATATATATATATATATATATATATATATATATATATATACACTATATTGCCAAAAGTATTTGCTCACCCATCCAAATTATTGGAATCAGGTGTTCCAATCACTTCCATGGCCACAGGTGTATAAATTCAAGCACCTAGGCATGCAGACTGTTTTTACAAACATTTGTGAAAGAATGGGTCGCTCTCAGGAGCTCAGTGAATTCCAGCGTGGAACTGTGATAGGATGCCACCTGTGCAACAAATCCAGTCGTGAAATTTCCTCGCTCCTAAATATTCCACAGTCAACTGTCAGCTGTATTATAAGAAAATGGAAGTGTTTGGGAACGACAGCAACTCAGCCACGAAGTGGTAGGCCACGTAAACTGACGGAGCGGGGTCAGCGGATGCTGACGCGCATAGTGCGAAGAGGTCGCCAACTTTCTGCAGAGTCAATCACTACAGACCTCCAAACTTCATGTGGCCTTCAGATTAGCTCAAGAACAGTGCGCAGAGAGCTTCATGGAATGGGTTTCCATGGTCGAGCAGCTGCATCCAAGCCATACATCACCAAGTGCAATGCAAAGCGTCGGATGCGGTGGTGTAAAGCACGCCGCCACTGGACTCTAGAGCAGTGGAGACGCGTTCTCTGGAGTGACGAATCGCGCTTCTCCATCTGGCAATCTGATGGACGGGTCTGGGTTTGGCGGTTGCCAGGAGAACGGTACTTGTCTGACTGCATTGTGCCAAGTGTAAAGTTTGGTGGAGGGGGGATTATGGTGTGGGGTTGTTTTTCAGGAGCTGGGCTTGGCCCCTTAGTTCCAGTGAAAGGAACTCTGAATGCTTCAGCATACCAAGACATTTTGGACAATTCCATGCTCCCAACTTTGTGGGAACAGTTTGGAGCTGGCCCCTTCCTCTTCCAACATGACTGTGCACCAGTGCACAAAGCAAGGTCCATAAAGACATGGATGACAGAGTCTGGTGTGGATGAACTTGACTGGCCTGCACAGAGTCCTGACCTCAACCCGATAGAACACCTTTGGGATGAATTAGAGCGGAGACTGAGAGCCAGGCCTTCTCGTCCAACATCAGTGTGCAACCTCACAAATGCGCTTCTGGAAGAATGGTCAAAAATTCCCATAAACACACTCCTAAACCTTGTGGACAGCCTTCCCAGAAGAGTTGAAGCTGTTCTAGCTGCAAAGGGTGGACCGACGTCATATTGAACCCTATGGATTAGGAACGGGATGTCACTTAAGCTCATATGTGAGTCAAGGCAGGTGAGCAAATACTTTTGGCAATATAGTGTATATATATATATATATATCTATATATATATATATATATATATAATAACTTTTTTAGAACAAGGCATAAAATGACCAAAACTATTTTGGATGGTTTGTTTTCTTCTTCCTCGTCTATAAAGAAGTCTTGGCAACAAGAGAGGTTCTTAGGTCATTCCTTCTTTCAAAACCATTTAATTACTTAGCTAAGTCTAATAAATGGTCCTGCCAAAGTTTGGTCTTGAATTTAATTGGATCTTTGTGCTCATATTTGCTGTGGATCGAACATTAAAGCACTAACCTTGTACTAAATCCTAAATTGCAGTTTCATTCCACATTAAATCACTCTTGGGATAAAAATGACCTCCCGGCCACATGGACAACACTATGGGATTGAAACTAAAGAAAATCTGAGGGTTTTCCATCCAACTACATTCAGCCCACTTGAGTAAATGCTTCCACTGCAGTTACAGCTGAGCTGCTAGTATGTTTCTTTATGTCTCTACTAGCTTTTTGCACAACCAAAGCCTAAACATATACCTGTCTTTGCAATGCCAGACATTTTCTTAGTATGGACCTTGGTCATGGTCACACAACTGGACTAGATTCCGAATTTTTGCTAAGATCCAATATTTTATCTATGGGGCTAGATAGATGATCAGTTTGTGAGTGAAGGCTGGCGTGGATGTCGCCGCTGCTCACCGCTGCACAGCAATCCCGACGGCGGTCTCCTGTTAACAGCCGACCTGTCCGCCGCCTACCTGTCTATAGCCCACCGGCCCATCCGTCAACAATCGACCATCATCAGCTGACCGGCCACTGGCCCACCTACCTACAGCCGACCCGCCACCGGCCCACCTGTATACAGCCGACCGGCCCTCCTGCCGACAACCGACCCGTCAGCCCACCAGCCACCGGCCCACCTGTCTACAGCCGACCGGCCCTCCTGCCGACAACCGACCCGTCAGCTCACCGGCCACCGTCCCACCTGTCTACAGCCGACCGGCCCTCCTGCCAACAACCGACCCGTCAGCCGACCGGCCACCGCTCCACCTGTTTCCAGCCAACTGGTCAACGACATACCTGAGGATCCCTGGCCCTCCAGCCCTTCTTCCGTATTGGATGATGTGGATCCTCCGGTCGCTGTGGTGGTTTACGCTCGGCTGCCTTCTGGTGTCACTTGCCCAACTGCAAGCTGACGCTCTGTTCCAGTACTCCGTTGTTGAACTTCTGAAGCTCCGACGCCATGTCGACGTCCTCCAGCCTCCACATGGTTGCTCCATCCCCTCCGACATCGCCTTTCAGCCCAACCGGAGATACATCCACCGTGGATCGCGTGGTAAGCGCTTTCATAGGAACCCCGATCCCTCCATACAGACTCTGCTCACCACGCGCCGCCACCCTCGTCACGCTCGCCGGGGTGCTAATCCGGCCTCCCTGGCTAGCTTACCCAGGGTGGCTAACCCCGCCCCCAAACTTAACTCTGCCACCGTCAGTCTCGGTCTCTTGAACATCCGCTCACTCAGTAATAAGGGGCTTTTAATCAGAGACGCCATTGCGGATCATAATCTTGATTTTTTATGTTTGACAGAGACCTGGCAGCTTCCTAATGATTTTATCTCTCTTAACGAATCTGCACCACCTGGCTTTGTTTACGTTTGTCTGCCTCGTGCGTCTGGACGCGGCGGAGGTCTCGCATTGTTTCATTGCGAGAGTTGGAAGGTTGTCCCAATTCCTGCTGCTCCTGTTTTTTGTTCTTTTGAATATTCCGCCTCACTGCTGCCTGGACCCTCTCCCACAGTTATCACCACCGTCTACCGTCCTCCTAAATATAATAAGGATTTTTTGACTGACTTTTTTCAGCTCCTCACACATCTCTCAACCCTCTCCCATAATCTGATTATTTTGGGAGATTTCAACATTCACATGGATAATATCAGTGTTCCTCTCTCCAGAGACTTCTCATCCTGCCTGGAAAGCTTCGGTCTACATCAATACATCAACTTCCCAACTCACTGTAAAAATCATATTCTAGATTTAGTCTGTTGTTCTGGCATCACCCCCTCTGACTGTAAATCCCATACTGTTGCTTTTTCCGATCACATGCTCATTACTTTTAACGTTAAGCTCCCCCTGTCTAAAATCACCCTCCCTCGCATCATCTCCTTCCGGAATGTAAAGGACATCAACATTGACGCCTTCACCTCTGACATCAGTAATATCCCCAGTGTATCCGCCTGCTGCTCACCTGATGAACTGGTTTCCCACTACAATCAAAATCTCCATACTCTCCTGGACATCCATGCTCCTCTGAAATCTAGATCAGTCTCCTTCACTCACTCAGCTCCCTGGTTCACTCCTGCTCTCCGTCACCTCAAATCTCGCGGTCGTCAGCTGGAACGCCTTGCCAATAAAACTGGACTCACCATTCACAAAAATATGTACAAGGATCACATTGCACTGTACAAGACTTCCCTCTCCTCTGCCAAATCTGCATATTACTCTAACTTAATCCACTCCAACCGCCACAACTCCAAAACTCTCTTTTCCCTTCTCACTTCCATCACCAAACCTCCCGACTCCCTTCCCTATCATATGCAATCCGATGACTTCTGCAATAACCTTATGTCCTTTTTCGTCTCCAAAATCACAAATATCCATAAACACCTGACCTCTTCTGGAGCTGCAGCTCCTGGAGGTGACCCGGCTACCCCCTACCCATCTTTTGCAACCACCCTCTCCAGTTTTGACCTTCCATCTGTTCAAGCCATTTCTGACTTCATTCATAAATCCAAACCTTCCACATGTCAGCTCGATCCTCTCCCGTCCACTCTGGTTAAATCCTGCTGCTCTTCATTTGCTCCTCTCATCACCAAAATCATCCACTCTTCCTTAAGCTCTGGTTCAGTCCCCTCTGCACTCAAAACCGCTACAGTCACCCCAATTCTGAAAAAACCTGGCCTGGACCCCACCGACTTCAACAACTTATCCAATCTACCCTTCATATCCAAAATTCTGGAAAAATCTGTTGCCTCCCAACTCCACAACCACCTGATGTCCAATAATATTTACGAACAGTTTCAATCTGGCTTCCGTCCTCTGCACAGTACTGAAACAGCACTCATCAAGATCTCTGACGACCTCCTTATGGCTTCTGACTCTGGACTACTTTCCATCCTCATTCTCCTGGACCTCACAGCAGCCTTCGACACCATCTCCCATGCCACTCTCCTCAGTCGACTATCATCCATCGGTATCAGCCGCACCCCTCTAACCTGGTTCACTTCATACCTCTCAGATAGGATACAGTTCATACAACTCAAATCTCATAAGTCCATCTACTTCCCTGTTTCTGCTGGTGTGCCCCAAGGTTCTGTCCTGGGGCCCCTCCTGTTTATTATCTACATCCTCCCTCTTGGCTACATCCTCCTCCATCAAATTCCACTGCTACGCGGACGACACCCAGCTCTACCTTTCTACTCAGCCATCTGCCTCACTCCCACCAATCTCCCTCACCCTCTGTCTCCAAGAAATCCATTCTTGGTTCTCATCCAACTTCCTCAAATTGAATAGCTCTAAAACCGAAGTCCTCCTAGTAGGCACACCTCACACTCTCTCCAAAGCTAATAACTTCTCGATTACCATCAATGATTCAACTGTCCTCCCCTCCCCTCAGGTTAAGAGTCTGGGTGTCGTCCTCGACAGCACCCTCTCCTTCCAGTCCCACATTAACAACATCACCCGGTCTGCCTACTTCCATCTGCGTAACATCTCTCGTCTCCGTCCCTCCCTCACTCCCCAAACTACCGCCATTCTTGTTCACAGTCTCATCACTTCACGCATCGATTACTGTAACTCACTTCTTTTTGGCCTTCCAAACAAGTCCCTCCAGAAACTACAGCTCCTCCAAAACTCTGCAGCACGCCTGATCACTCGGACCCCCATTTCTCATCATATCACTCCCATCCTGCAACAACTCCACTGGCTCCCCATCAAACAAAGAATCATCTTCAAACTCCTCCTAACTACATTCAAGGCCCTTCACAGCTTGGCTCCATCTTACATCTCAGATCTCCTTCACGTTAAAACTCCCACCCGCTCCCTAAGATCCTCCCACTCCTTCCAGCTCTCCGTTCCCTCGGCCCGTCTGGTCACAATGGGGAACCGGGCATTTAGTCGCTCTGCTCCCCACCTCTGGAACTCCCTCCCTCCGGATCTCCGTACTCTGGACTCCTTCCCTCTTTTCAAATCCAGACTCAAAACTTTCCTGTTCAGACAGTCCTATCCCATCTAGTTCCTACGCATCACTTCAATATTGTTCTCTTCCTTTTCTTCCTTTGGTTTTATTTTACTTTCTGCTGTTTTGTTTTCTGTGGCATCTTATGCTTGTACTTTTTAGCTCCCTGTTTTTAATGTTTTTATCTGCCTGTACAGTGTCCTTGGGTGTTGTGATAAGGCGCTTTCAAATAAAATGTATTATTATTATTATTATGCTTGTTCATACTACTACCTAAATGCAAACCCACTGGAAACTGAATGTGGAATAAAGGAGGATGTAGTGCTCCTCTCGTCATATATTGGCACCCAGGGTAAATGGCAGGTTTCTGACGTTGTATCATGTAACAATCACACAATCTTTTTAAACTTTAGCCCACAAAAGTTATTGTTGACAGGTTTAGGTGTGGTATGTAAACTAGTGTTTCTTTAGGTTTAGGGGAAGGGATGAGTAAGGGTTAGTTTTTTACTTCGCAGTTCATCGAAACATTTTGCAAGTTCCTGCAACAACATGTCTCATCATAATATGAGGAGACGGAAACCCATCATTATCTGATTCCCAGAGAGCTTGACCAAGTGTCAATATTTGACAAGTTGGGAGTCTGAATGTCTAAAAAATTCCTTGGTTTCATTGGCTCCTATCCTGCTGAAAGTTAAACCAAACTGTGTGAATTTTTTTTTTTTTTTTTTGTAGCATTGAAAGACTTTGTAAAGCATGATGCTGCCACCACCATGTTTATCAATGGTGATGGGATGTTCAATGACATGCTCCCTGGGCACCGCACAATGGCAGCCCACTGCACCCCAAGGCAATGGATTAAATGCATGACTGATAATTAAATGCATGAATAGGCTGCACTTACCACTTATAATAATTATAATATTACAGCGATGATCCTCATGTCCATGACTTTGCAAAAGGTTCAATGTGAAATCAAGCTGTAAATAAAAGAAAACATTAAAAGAGCTGCTCTTGTTCTTGACAACACAAGTGCACCGAAAGGCATTCCGGGAATGAATAAAAATTAATTTGAAAAATCCGTGTCCTTTCTGCAAAATTGCCTCTTTTTTACTTGTATGTTACAAATACGTTATTTAAATGCTTGTTAAATCTGTAAATAGAGCGAAAAAATGCTCAATTGTGATTTCACAGATCAAAGATGCTGATTTTAGTCACTGCTGCAGTTGTGGCACAGTTCATCTCTCTAGTTGTCACAGCAAAGCTACGCGATTTTAATGCAACAGAGCTGCTCCGCTTTGATATCATTATGCATCGCAAATTGCTTCTGTTGTTTGCTTTTATTGAACTAATATGTGCATTTTGCACATATTAGTTCAAAACATGCTATTGTTTTAGATGTTTGACTCATTTATCCAGTTTGTTTGTTTTCTTTTATTTGTTGATTTATTCATTTGTCTGCATGTGTGCCAGAACAGCTAGAGGACAGTTTAAGGCTTAATCTAATCAAATTTTAAAAAGCATGTACTCTTGCAGGATAATCGTCTCTTGCAGACAACGGTTTTTGAAAATAATCCCATGCAGCAGGGAGGCAGAAGGGTGCCTGAGGTAGAGCAGAGAGCTCCAAACGCTTGTATCTGCATGCTAGATTGCTGCTACCTTCTGCTCATCCTCTGCTCTCACTGCACTTTTGCTTATCTCTGCACCACTAAAGCATTAATAACAGTCCTAACCCTTGCAAGCGCTGAGTTTCCTAATCTTTTTTTTTTATTTGCAACGCACAGCATTCCTTGTTTACATAAATATCAGCAACAAAAAAATTAAAACTAAGATGAAAAAACAAAACAGCTGGGTGTGTGCATGTTTACAACGTGTGTGTTGTCTGTGTTTGTCTCTAGATGAATTAATTAACTCTCCTCAACTCATTAACTTCTGAATGAGTTTGCTTTTTCAGAAGAGCTTGTACTTGTAAGGCCTTACATATAATGCATCCACACTCTCTGATCCGTATGGAGCAACTCATCTAAAAGAATATCTAATTAAATAATCAGGCTGCATGCTTTTCTGTAGGCTATTTGATGCCAAGTCATGCATACGTTTGCTGGTGCTGGAGGAAATGATTTAGGTTACAGAATGAAATATTGGTGAGTGTGTGTCTGTGTGTGTGTCCTTTTACTTCTGCATCACTCCCCATTATTTTCCAAATCTAAGTTAACAAACTGCCAAATGAAAAGAGACCAGCTTCGCTGTTAGTTTAACTGATACAAGCATTGAACAAAAAACACTTTTATTCCTTTTTGGCTTGTTTTGATTTGTTCTAACCTGTCCCGGTTTCATCATTTCTTAGCAAAGCAGGATATTTTTTCCCGCTTCCTCCTCCAATCCTGAATTTGTGTCCTCTTGTGAACTGCATATTGTATTCTTGTCACCTCTCATTATGCTAGGGAATGGGGGGGGGGGAATCGGGTCTGTGTCTCGTCGTCCCTGAGGTTTCAGCCACGCCACACAGCAAACAAGAGCAGCTCTTTGATTTGCCCATAAAGGCCGTTGCCTCCTGTTCTTATTCCCCCAAGTTTTAAATATATCGCAATAAAATGCTGTCTACGGCTGAAACTGTTAAACTGACAAAGGGTTGAGGGTTTAGATAAGGCTTTTTCTCTCAAATGTTGTGCTGTGTACGCAGTCTGTGTTTTTTTCAAATCAGCTGGTATGGAGGTCTATGATTTTCCTTATGTAACTACAGTTATTATGCCTATAATGACTAGTCTATATGGTTTCCTGAGTATGTCAAGGGTTTTAAGCAGTGTCAGACTTATTATGTGGACAGATATTCCGTCCCTCATAAAAGTATTAATAATCCTTCAACTGTTGCCTATTTTGTCCTTTACTAACAAACTTTGATGTATTTTTGTGCAACTGAGTTTTATAAAAAAAAAGTAGGGCATAACTGTGCAGTGAAAAGAAAGTGTGGTCTGTATTTATATTATTTTCCTCTCAGACGGTACTTTATAGAAACACCTTTCAATGCAGTCCTTTGAGGAATGCCTCTTTCCACTTTGAATGTCTTCATTCCAAGAATCTTAGTCTGAGCTCAAACTCAGAATAAATGTGAATTTTAACATTTCTTTTCATTACTTTCATTACTTTTAGTCTAGCTAGCTTCTCTTTCCTTGTTGGGGAAAAGCTGTCCCACAGCATGATGCTACCACTGTATTTCACTGTAAGTATTGCACTATATGGATAAGATCGGTCCACAAAATGTTATCTAGATGGTCTTTACTAGCTTGGCTGCTTTATTTGCGAAAAGCTTTCTTGCAGCACAATGCTTCCGCCACCTTGTTTGATCGCAGGAATTATGATGAAAGAATAACGTTTGTAAGCTGACCTGCTTTTGGCTGCCTTCCCTGGAGTGAACAGTTGATTTTGTTTTGTGTATTAGCTTCTTTTTATGGGGATAATATCTCTTATGTTTGGTATATAGCTGTGAACACAGCATTTCACTATTTTGGTAATTTGCAACTTCAGTCCTAATTTGTTGAAAGACTACATAAAAATATACAGATAATAAAAGATTTTGAATTTCCACAGCATGCTGCTGCCAATACCTTGTTTCACCACCAAGGTGATGAACTTAGATTAAGTTTGTTACATAGATTTTATTTTAGTATGGCAGAGTAAAGAGGGCTATATGCTAATGCTACACTTTACTTATTATTAAAAGCCAAACGGTCTGATACCCACGTCTCATTTTTCTTATGCTTTCCAATAATTCCCTATTATTCCTCGTGGTTTTGGTTCTGTTTAAGTTGATTTTATTTCCTATGTATTTCCATTTAATTTGTGTTGTTTTCGAGTTCTTACCCTCTGCTGCCATCTTGTGTCAGTCTCCTTCTCCTAGCTCAGTTCGAAATACTCCTGTCCACACCTGCTCCCAATCTGATGATGAGCCTAGTCTTTGTCTGTCTCCCATATATACTCCTCCTTTTTAGTTACTGTTTGCTTGTTCCTTGTCGTTTCTTTGGTCCTCATATGCGGTTTCCGTGATGTCTCCTGGATTTTGTTTTTCTGAATTTTGTTTGTGGACTTTTACTCCAGTTGCCGCCATTTGGGAGATTAAATGTACAAGAAACTGCTTCAGCTTCCGTCTCTGCATTTGGGTCCTCTAAAACCTCCACACAACCTGACATTATTGAGTGCTCTATCACATAACATCATAATAAAAGAAATCAAGTTGTGCCTCAAATGGAAAAAAAAAGCTTGAAGGAATATGAATATCATGGATCATTGCATATCTTTTAAAACACAATAGGTTTTTGAAAGAAAGTTTTTGGTTCACAAAAGCAAGAGGTATGAAATTATACATTATTTTCTTTTTTGGAACAGTCATTTAACATAGCTGTTCCCTCTTTCAGGTTTGAATATCTAGGCTTAAGGTGCACCAACAATGTTCAGGGTAAATAGCTTTAGCTTCTTCCTTTTCATTAGAAAAAGTCTTTGTTATGATTTGTAATTGCTGCTAAAGACTTATTATGAAATCTGAAATGGAAAATGGGAAAAGAAGAGGAATTAGCATTTTGTGGCAAAAAGAGCAATCTGATTGTGCACAAAATGCTGTAGAGATTAATGTCAGGCACAAAGGTAATCTGGATAAAACAAATCCAGACACAGTTAAGATAAGGGATGCGTGTCGACCCAAGGTGTACGGGCAGATGTGTTGGTCTCCATGGCAGCCACACCAGATGGCCTGCTGAGATTAAACTGTGAGTATCTGAACAACTGTAACAGACTGATGAGTAACCCATGCTGAGCATGGAAAATTTGGTTTAGCATTCACTAACCTTCAGTGGATCTTTCTCCCATTCAGTAATATGTCAGCCTGACATTCAGACGCAGCCTGTTGCTGCAGGGATCTCATTTCAACTGTTGGATTATGTTGCTTTGTACGTCTTATTGACGGTGAGAATGCTGTGGTTGCTCATATTGTCTCATGCAAATGAGCTCTTCATAAAGCCCACATTTCTAATATGAGATCCTCAACTGAAAGCCAGTCATCTATTAAA